GAGGAGGTAAGCTGATGAGACTCCGCCTCTGCAATTTTCTTTGCGTATTTATAAGTGAAGGTATTCATAACCGTTTTTATGTAACCGATCATGAAGAAATTAATATTAATTATTCTGACGTGAACGTTGAAAATTATAATAAAGAAACCTCTTGTAACAATGCCATGCACATTCTATCAAGGAATACCTGAAAGCCGTAACGACGAGCGTAATGAACTTTGTCAATTTGAGTTGGCTTTATGTTGCTGTACAGTATTTGTAAGGAATCCATTTCAGTCTTAAGTGTTCATATCACTTTCCAAGGAGGATTGAACCAAGTTGTCAATTGCTGGATTATTAACCCCTGGAACTAATGACATCTTTTGAATAAGAAGTTTTTCCAGTGAGAGCATTCTCAACCTTTATTGTGTTACATCACGTAAAGTAAGCATTTCAATATATTGCTCATTTTCTTCTTTCAGTTTTGGTATTCTTTCGGGAAGGATGTCATTAACAAAAATTCTCACTTTTTTTACTCTCCTTATTATGTCTATAAGTATGCTATGACAATTACGGAAAAATAGGTTACGTTAACGAAAAAGGGTAATAGTTAATGGGGAGGAAGATCTTTATTATCAAACGCATTTTTCCCAAGGGGAATGGAGCCTCTAAATTTAACATATACACAAAGTAATTAATATAAAATAATATAAAATAATACTATCATGTACACAGTGACTCTCTTTATAGTGTATCAAAAAAATCTACTAGTAAAAAATTCTCAAAAATACACTATATCGAGAGTTATTGAAAATTTATTAGTAAATACACTATATCGGATAGCATTCATTATAGATGGTTTTGAACCTTTATCCACTATATCGCGATTTTAATTAGTCTCCACTATAAAGGAGGTACACTATAAAGAGAGCCACTGTGTACCTTCATAGAGTTATATATTTACATGAGCAAATGGATACTTGTTAGGACGACTTAGTCGTTCTTAACGTTGCCCGAATCACACCACGCGGAGGCCAAATATTATGTAATTCACTCCTATTACCAGTCAAAGCAAACGAGATATACGTGTAATAAAGGGTGAGATGATCGACACCGAGGTTCTAGCTTTTAAAAGTTTCCCATCATCCATAGTCGTCTAGAATCCAATACACAACGTAAATTGATATCGTTTCTCTGCTCAATTGTTAGGCGGGAGACATGATTACAAATTAAACAGGTCATCATATACATTAATTCAAAATCCTATATTATTCATCTCAGTCCCTACCATACAAAGTAAAGAAATTCTTGAAGATAGTTAGAGCGAATGATAGAAACAGTGTAAATCTCATTAATATTGCCAGTCCCTATGAAGATAGGATTAATATTAAATAACTTTACCATCGCCTACGACATCCCACCCGGGCTAATAAGGCAACCTTCTACTTATAACAGTGACAACAGCAAGCTACAGTCTAATGGACTTTGGCTATAACGAAGATCTGTTCATAATGAAGAATGTCTCCAAACCAATCATTAAATGTTTATATCTTTGCTATAAGACGAGACCTTGGTTATAAGGAACTTCAGGATATAAATAATAGTTTTCCAGCCCACAGAATTCGGTATAACCGGATTAGACTGTAGTTGCATTACCATCATAAAATACGGTTGAGAAATATAAGGTGAGTCGCGTTCATGTTAGTATGCGACAGATCAGAACTAAAAGACGGTATGTATAAAATTTCCAATCCTGGGAAAAGTACAGGCGTCATTCTAACGCGAACATGGTCGGGATTCAAAATTATTTTGTTGGTCATTTTCGCGATACTCCCTCTTTTGCAATTTCTGTTACACTCGCCCACACTTTGTTAAACCTGCAACACTTAATGAAATTGAAATTGGTAAAGGACAGATATCTCTTATATTTCCTTGTAATGACAGCGCCCGGCCCGGAGTTTGTTGGAACCGGTGGAGTCATTGCTAGATGGTGATCCAAGAGTAATTACAATATGATAATAAGATATGAAAATTGAAAGGCCGACAGGGCCAGGCAGAGACTGAAGATCCTTAAAAACTTTTTAATATACTGGGTAATGGAGTAGGTGACTGATCCAGTGTGCAGTGCAAGGAGGAGAATGCATCAATTCTGTTCGAGATGCTGTGGAAAGTTGGGTGAAATAATCTATATCTTATTTTTCAATCAATTCTCATGAATGCCATCAACCAACAAAATCCTTTGTAAAGTCAACTATCTTTACCCTTTTTCCCTTATACAAATTTGATTTTATTGGGAGTGGGGTGTTAATTTGGTCTTTCTGTTTTGTACTATTTGTTCCCCCTTTATGTTATCTTTTTTGTATTTTGTCATGGAAGATATTCTAATCCACGCGCTGTGTGCGGTTCAATATCCCAAGTGAGCGATCACGTATAATAAATGAAGAAAGATAAGTTTTATATAATATTGAGGGAAGCTGATAGATACACTGAAAACATGCATTATAAGGCAATTTACCATTATTATTGTATTCATAATTGGTTAATAAACTCCACCCGGAAAGTATTCTCGGGGCACCTTTTCGATAATACGCGCTTCTATCCTCTTGAGGCGTGAATACAAAGACACGGCTTTTTTCTGCATGGTATTCGCGAATAGGAAATGCTTTCACACACTCTTATTTATATCTACAGTTTTCCCATCATCATAGCGAGAATTTTTTTAAAGATCTTTATTACTAGGAAGACAAATACTTTAATTTCGGTGATCGTCGCGTCGCAACCGCTTTTTGACAATTGATAAGAGTGCCGTATAAGCGTAAAACATGATGAGTAATTCCATTATATATTTGTTAGCCTCTTCAATATCTACAGGCATAAACGGCATATCTTGATAATTAGCCAGAGAATAGCGGTCGACCCTTTGTTATTTTCTGCGGATTATATCATTACGAGTAGGAATACCTCGTAAATAATCTTTGGAATACTCTGTTCACCTCTTCGCGCTATCGCTATTATTTCCGCGTTCAGAGATAGAAGCAAAGCTTCCTGCTCCGTAGACTTTGTTTTGTGTTTCAGTGATATTTTGGGTATCCGTTTCAAGTGCACTCACAACGGTTTAGAAAAGTTTAAATAAAAATAATAATTAATTGATTATTTTTTAGAAAGGCTTGAAAAATTGCTTTTGATACGGAGGATTGACAAAACTCTCCTTTCTAAAAGAAAGAACCAAGAAATTTTTCCTCACTCCTATTTTTTTACTCAAAAACTCCCTTTTTTTGTTGTCAATGGCTTCCAGTTTGGACGGTATTGCCCTTTCGCAGCATTCCGAATCCGCGAAACATTAGTATTAGTTACAGAATACGTGTATAAAAAATTAATTAGCGAACTAGCAAAGCTAACATGGGCTTTTATTGTTGATATATTCTCCGGACTGGCGAAGTTTGCAATAAAAGTTGTCATTGGCCAGAAGGATGTAAAATTCCTTGGAAGGCTCCTACGTGCGTGTACCTTGTAAAGAATGCAGTAAGTTGACATTCTCTACATATATGTAGAGATTATTCCAGCAAATATCGGTTTAAAGATGATTACTATTACGAGGGCTGTTCGATAATTTTGACCATTTCAACGAATTTATTATAGAACGCACATAAAATTATACTAAACCCTCGAAATAATATCCGCCAACTCTATGTGTATCACCGAAAAAATTACCCAGAACATAGATCATGATGCTATTGTCACTATGAAATATAAAAATGATAGTAATTCGCAATTCTATCATTACTGGATAAGCATCGTCATTCACCATTGTCACTATGGAAAAATTACTACCATTTAATATATATATGTTTTTTAATTATACCCCAAATACCAGAAGGTAAGCATATTGCATGTAACATATATAATAGGTGTACTGTATTATGTGTAGTAATAATACAGGTAGATACATCACATGTAGTATATATACAACCAAATGTACTAAAAGTTTCGAATATTTGTTTCATAGTGACAATGGTAACAAAATCACAGGAAGTGCGTTTAATTTCTTACTTAGCTTTTACCGTCGAAAAGATGAGGTATTAAGGACTATCGAAGCGTGTTGTGTTTATTATTGCTGCAATATTCTTTACGTTCTAGGTGGTCCGTCGTTAGGAATATTCTAGACATGAATTAGACTAGCGTATATGCGAAATACAAGGGTGTGGTACTTGGACAATAGAAATTACAAGCCTAGACCTCGCGTCAAAGACTCGATGCTTTGTTCCAATGAGAAGACGTCCAGTTTTTCAGTCGGATCAATAATACATGCAATGTGCAAGGCATATTAGAATGTAAACTGTAATTACAAGCGATCAAGAAACGTGTTGAAGTCAATTTCTTTCATAATACCAGTGCCTATATTAATACAAACATATTCCAATTTTCGGGCATACCGGCTTAAAAATTAATATCCGCAATACCTGTGTGGAATTGCGACACTAGAGACGCAATAAATAATAAAAGATATGTAGTTTGTGTGGCTTATCTTGAGAAACAACACAACTCGAACGTAACGCACTTATTGTAGTATATTAAATTTATTATATAATACAAATGAACAAACCCCACGAGCTTAATACAATACAAATGTAAAGTATGTTAATGCATATATTCTATAGCTAGAGCCATAAACATGAAAACAGTATATCTATTTATAACTTATTTGCATGGAAGAAGCTTCGGCATTGCTGTAAACTTCTCACCTGAACTTAAGTGATTAAAATTATCGGAAGAGGTGTATATTACGATAGTCGATTACTGAAATACGATTACTCTCCTGTCCCTCTTCCTTTATTATTCTATGTTCAAATCCTCCTCCTTGATCATGAAATACTTACACCGCAAAAGGACTGATCAACTGTCCGATATTCTTCCCGAGTGTAGGCAGCCTTTAACGCGTGTGCGTTCTTTGGTGACGCGTCACTTGGTCAGGACGAGAAAACGCTTTCTCACAATTGAGTTCCGGGCATTTGAATGGGCGTTCACCGGTGTGTATACGCATCTACATATCCAAGATCACTAGTATGAGAGTTTACTGGAACAAGATAATCAAACAGGAACAAACCGAAGCAACTTACATGTTTCGTGAGGTTAGATGACTCTGCAAAGCGTTTCCGACAACCACTAAACTTACATTGGAAAGGTTTCTCTCCTGATAGGGGAAAAAAAGCCGTGTTTATAACAAAAATTTTGTCAATAAGAGATATTCAGTTTGCTGAATTTCGTTTGTCTCTTACCTGTATGCATTCGAAGGTGAATAGTCAACGCCCCAGATATGGAGAACTGTCGACCACACTCTGAATAATGACATTTGAACGGGCGCTCTCCAGTGTGAATTCTCATATGCTGAGTCATGATATTGGCCTCGGAAAAGCGTTTATTACAGTTATTGCACTGATACGGCTTATCCCCTATAATACAATAGAACAAAGGAGTCTTAAGATCTCTAATCTTATTTCGGTTCATCACCTGATTAAACATACCGGTATGTGTTTGCATATGCCTCATAACTTTCTGTCTCTGCGAAAATGGTCTCCCGTTCCTCTCACATTGTTCCCAATAGCACACATATTTACTTTTACCGCTCCCGACATGACCTTCACTTAAATGCGATGTTAAATCATCGAAAGTCTGAAACCGTGCAATACAGTCCCCCCATTTACACAAATGTTTGTATTCCTTAGTCCCAAGATGATCCGAACATAAATGACTGATCAATTCGTCACTACCATCCTTTTCAGCCGAACATGAAGCCCATCGACAGAAAAGACCTTTGCTTCGCCCGGAAATGTGTAGCTTAGAAATATGACGAATAAGTTCGTCAATAGATCTAAAGGCGGCCGCACATGCAGCCCAGAGGCAGCGTGTTTCACTAGACGTGTCTGGATCTTTGCGTTTCACGGCAGAGTTAGGTTGTGATGGTAAAGCGGAAGGCTGTGTTGGTGCAAGCGACGTATCATTAGCCGTGGTTGCACGAATGACAGATGGAGGTTTGGGCGGCGCAAATGGTCGCGAGTGCGACCAAGTGAGTTGCCTGATTGTTGAAGATTGTTCGTTTGTAGGTGATTGTAATGGAATATCTGATGAAGTTTTTGGCGACTGGGGAGGTGGTATTTGGAATGACGGTGATTGGGAAGACGGTGATTGGGAAGGTGGTATTTGGGAATGAGATGTCAGGGAAGATGATATCGGGGAAGATGATATCGGGGAAGATGATGTTGGGTGAAGTAAAGATATACTAGTATTCGAATAATTGGATAAAGTGTTTGTTTGAAGTGGGATACCCGAATGAACGGTTGACGACTACAAGAAAAAAAGGGTTAGGGAATGTGTGGATCTTAGTGACAGTTTCTTGCGCGCAATCACAGTCGGTAACAAATTCAGCTTCTAATTAATATAAAACTAAAGCGCAAGGCAATTAAACGTCTATACATATTCTGATCTGGATCAATAAACTTTTAAATACTAACCTGCTCAAAATCAAGATTATTACTCTTCGACGCATTCTCCACCGATTGCCCTTCTCCACTCGCTGCACTATTCATGCCGTCATCTTTACTCCGCCAACGTACTTTCTCTGCATCTCCTCCGTTTTCCTCACAATATTCACATCTTGATGAATCAGAAGCGTACGAGTACAAGCTTGACAATCTTCCATAATCGATCGTGTTTCGACGAAAGCTGTTACCGTAACCGGTTGGAGTTGATTGAGTTACGTACGAGGAATACCTCGACGTTTGATCGGTTCCTGCTTGTTCTCTGGGATTGAAACTTGTTTTTGCGTTTGCTTCTGCTGCTTCTGCTGCGGCAATCGGACAGCATATTGTACAGCACCCTTCGGACGGTAGGTAAACTGGCTGAGATGCAAAAGAAACGCTGGAAACCTGGCGAAATGTTGTGGGTTGGTTGGAAGTAACAACAGCAGAGTTTTGAAAGTCCATCGTAGGTGAATGCGAATTAGAAAAATCGGTACTAAACTCTGCGTTTGAGCGAGTCAGAGAAGGAAATTGTGGGCAGGGATTGTAAGAAGTCGGCGCTAGTATTGAATAGTCGGTTTGAGCAGCGGGGGAGGAAGGATCTTTTTCAGTCGTCTCTATTTTTGAAGATTCCTTAGTCGAGCCTACGAGGTATGAGACACCAAATCTCTACAAAGTGTTAGATGTTTTATTAAAGAATTTCTGATGAGTTACGCAGAAAGTAATATTTCGAATGCGGGGTCAATGCAGTACCATAGCACTGGGCAGAATACAAACCTTCATACAGCAAAACCCAGGTTAATATTAACTCAAAAATGACAGTAGAATTCCAGTACTGCGCGTTTTACTCTAAAACTTCCTTGAAAAAAAAATAATGACACGTAAAATAAAAGCTATGAGGGATATGACAAGAATGCGGGCTATTTACTATGTGGGTTTGATAACTCGTACCAGGAAGCAATTGAAAAAACGGGCAGTTTATTATTCATTGCGTTTGGGAGAGTTTGAAAGGGTACCAAAAATGCAACAAAAACCTTTGTGTCCATGACGTCACTGATGATCGACGGACGACTGAACAATGGTCAATAAAGTTTCGTGCTTTAGAAACCACCTTCCTTGTCGAATTGACTAGTTTGTTGCCAATAGAATTATTTGATTGCTTGCCAAAGCTTGTGATATCAGAGTTTTACCAAAAGTGGATAAAAGAGATGTGTGGGAATTGGAGTCATTGTGAATATTTGATTGTATTAAGAATAGTTCAGAACAATTATGGTAGTTAAATACGTCATAATAAAAAGTTAGTCGATACGAATAATGATTGACGTATATTAGGATATTAATATCTCAAATGGCAATATAGACTTGGAATACAACAGTCACTATGCGCTTGAAATTTCCCTTACAACCCTTACAACTTGTGATAAAAGTTCGGTAGATTAATATTTAAAGGTGTCGATTTTACGTTAACCAATAAAATGCTGACCCCTCCAGAAATGCATCCGTACACTGTTGCAAATTAAAATCCAATCTCGGCTTGCATCGTATACCATTCAATCACATAACCATGACAATTACTATTACATATTGGACTAATAATTTATCTAAATACATATAATTAATAAACATAATGGAATAATTTACCTTGTCGTAACACAGATCATCTTACTTTAGTTGCAGTAGACAATATGAATATCTACCAACAAATGGAATCCATTCCAATCAATAGTCCATGTGTACACACGAATCCATAAAGTATACAATAAATTTTATTTGCAGTCAGAATTTGTTCTTAAATTATAGCACAGAAAGTAATCATAACAAAAGGAGAGAAATAAAAAGTTCTTCAAGATATATGAAGACCAATATAATCAAACAAATTCAGACAGTCCAAGAATAAAGCAGCCCGGTGAGACGACGACTACTACTCATAACAAATTTCCAAGATAAATTGTATAAAAGTTTACTTTACGAATACTCTGCTTTGACGGAAAAAGTCGGGACAGACCTTTTTAAAGATAACACCCGCAAAGAATGGCATCTTTGTGGTGGTGCTGGAGAAACTGTAACAGGAAAATCTTCGTCGTGCTAAGATAAGCGATGGTGTGCGGTTGGGTCAGGCGTTCAAATTATAACTCGGCCTTTTGAAAAGTGCGGTATAACAGCGGATTCAGATAAGGATAATGAGACTAGATGAATCTGTTTAGTTACTTATTCGTAAAAATACATTTGATCGATTACTTTTCAATATAGATTTTTGGAGTGGTCGGAAGCGAGAATTTTTTGGGTGCTTACTTTGCAACTTGCGGAAAATCTAAAGGAAGCGTTAGACGCCGCACTTTCTGCAACTAACTGGATAAAGGCTTGGAAATGTCAAAGAGTTTCTGTATAAATGTTTTTCCCTAATTAAAAACAGAGAAGTCAACCAGACGCTCTGAACGAACAAGCATATTTTTATAACCACCAGTACGCGACAATCAGCGATAGAACTACGGTCATCACAGCGAAATTTTTTATTCTCATTTTTTTTTTTGCACGGTAAAAAACACGCTACATACACCATTGTGAGTCGTCGGTCGGTTGTGTTTGCGTGCGAAGAGAAGAATAGCTATGAAAACATAAATGGCAGCAGCGATGTGAGCAATGCAGTAACGGTTAACCATGTTTATGGTTTAACTATGTTGTTGTCAATAACGAAAAACTAATAGGTTTGTTGATAGCAAAAGGTCTACAGTCACACTGCCCTAAATGCACACACTTCCCTGAGAGTGTGGGACCGTGCATTTAGAGAAAATGCAAGTTGGTATACTTACGAGTGGTAACACATGTTCACGTGTACTAAGATTACAGTCAACTGCCTTTAATAAGAACGTCTTTATCGTTTCTTGAACAACAAGATAACGATAACATTAATACATGTATTAAGATTCACAATAAAATTCGTGGGGGGTTTTTTGTCGCACCATATCATGAATAGATAATTCTTCTATGGCCTCGGAAAGTTGGTGTCCGAATTAACGGAAGTTGATTCACGTCCTTAATACATTCGGTTATATGGTCCGGTGCAATAATGTAGATACCTCTATTTTTTTTTTCATAGAAATTTTTTGAGAAGTTATTTTTTAATTCTGATTAGATAAATCAATTCTTCAGTCAAGAGGAATCAAGTTTATTAAAAGTTGATTAGTCAAATTCAACATCATTCTCTAAAGAAAAATTATTGTCTATTTCACAGTCATTATCTATTTCATCATCAACCAAAAAAAATTATCATCAGAATTTACACAATCTTTTGCTATCCTAATAGTTTTTCTCCATAATCCAATAATAACCTGTGAGTTTACCTTGTAAATTAGCAAGCCGATATCGAAGATATTGACAGCGAAATATAACGTTATTTGGTGACTCGTGTAAAAATATTCCTTCTTTCGCCCCGGCCAAAGTGGAACCTAAACTGTGTAACATACGAAGAAGTTGCCAGTTAGCACGGGGTGATATTAGAATCTGGTCACCTCCGGTCGGCCAATGATCTTATGTGGTGTAAAAGATCCGTCATAACACTCCCAACAGTACTTTCTGAAATGCCCAATACCATAGCAATACGCTTGCGTAGTGTGAGCTTCTGATTACGTTTATTGACGGAGATAGAATCAGAAAAATATTTATAAGCATTAACGATCTTTTTTTTTTCATTCCCCGTCAAGGGCGAACAGCGTTGCTTATCAATCGTTGGAAACATTATAGATAGACCAAAGTATGCTAGTAGCGACTGAAACCTCTTATATTGAGGTATCTACATTTATGCACCGGATAATTTATTAAAATATTGATCTATTACTATACTTGATTGTTGCATTGCATTAACCTTTATTTTCTAAAGTACCTCTCTAGAATATTGGTAAACTGTCAAACTACATTTACTTTATAGTAATGTTTATGTTCTGTCCTATCTTTGAATTGAATTGAAATATGGTCTAGTCATCGCTTGCATGAAACTTTAAATGGTAAAATCACTCTTTCAATGGTGTTTTATTAATTAAACTTTCGGCAAAGTGATAATGACTGAGGGACAATCGAATGTTGCAAAATCGTACCAATTATAATTTTACTTACTTGATGTAAAATGACAATACAATGTCTGCTTACTAAATCACGTGCGTGCATTTAGAGAGAGCCGTGCATTTACATAAATTTCCTGAAAAGTGGTTATGCGCAGTATGACACAATAAGTGTTGAGAATTCCCCGACACTTGAAAAAATTTTTTTTAATTCAAACTATGTCGTTAACGTCAGGGGTTGTTAATAATCCAGCAATTGACAACTTGGTTCAATCCTCCTTGGAA